ATAAAGCGTGAACAACATCCAGATTTTCAACACTAATTCAGTCAAGTAAATCAGTGCTTCAATGTGATGGTTGAGAGACTTGGCGCCTTACTGAATGCATTTCCAACAAACTGCAGACATTCATCACCAACTGCATACTCTGGCTGGTTACTGAAGCTCAGATGGCCAGAATACTAAGAATAAGCAGCAAGCAGCTCTGTCTGATTGGCTGGCTGGCAACGAGCCAACCAAGAAGCTGTCGCTCAACAAATATGCAGAAGGAAGTGAGGAAGAAATGAGAGCTTGTGGGCTGTCGTGGAAACAGGTTGAAAAGATTGCAGAGAACAGAAAACCTTCACATTAGAACCGTTAGTTAGACTTCAAATCGTCTCACACTATGTCAGTTAAAGTTGGCTTACTATTGTCTAAGTAACAGGGCCAAAAAACTTACTAGTAAAACAGAATATCTAAAACAAGAAACCAGATACATTAAAGACACATCAATCATCAATAATTACCCTCCCAAATTAATTCATATGCTCTTTAGGAATTGTAAGAAAAGTATCAGTAACAGTTACTATTAGTAGTAATAACAAGAACAACAATACTAATAATGGTGTTTATGGTATTAGCTGCAATACTGGGAATAGAGAATTCAAAACCTTCACAGTATTACCATACAAAGAAGGCACCTCAGAAACACTAAGTAGGATTCGCAATAAGGCTGGGATTAGAGTGACATTTGAACCTACATACTCACTGCGAAATAAGCTTTGTGGGTTAAAAGATCCTATTGACCCAATTAAGCAGAATAACTTAGTTTACCAAATCCCTTGCGACGACTGCGAGGTCAAATATGTAGGTCAAAGTAGTCAGCCAGGATCAATTAGGCTATCGGAACACAAAAGCTTAGCTAGGTCAAAATTGGTAGATCTAGTAAGGTAAGGGATTTAGAAAAAAAACTCAGCCATAGCTATGCATGGAATTACACAACCACACAATAGGATGGGACAGGGTGAAAATTCTTAAAACTAACATAACAGAATGGAGGGAGAGATTGATAACTGAATCTTTGTTTGAAACAGTCCCTTTTATGAATTTCGATAGCGTTTTAGGATTTGTCCTGGTGCGAACTTGACAGACGCAAAGACCAATCACTAATTATTCGAACTTGTTATATACCCACGAATACGAGACCAAGGAAGAACACGATAGCGTAGTCGGATGGAATAGTATATTTGGATGGTTATGCCAAAATACCGATGCGTTCCAACTAACTGGCTAGAGAGTCGAATACGAGCAATGCAACGTAACACGACAGCGTTCCAAATGGCGAGGATGCTTGACCGGGTGCCTTCAGCTTAGCGAGTCCGGTTAAACTATCAAGGTCAGCATCAATGTCGAAAGTCGTCAAACCCTAGGCTATTGATTTTGGGGAAGTGTATGACGCTACAGCGTAATTAGAAGACGAAGTTTATCTGAGCAATGTGATGCATTTGCGCAATACATTTCGAACAATCTGATCACACATTACTTGTCAAGTCAATATATATTAAACTGAGGACTGGGAGGGGGGATATATACAACAATTAACACAATAGGGGATTAAAATGAAGAGAGATGAGGACAAACAGGAAGTGACATAGTTGGTCCTAATCTCGGTAAGAAAACAAAGTTTACCAAGGTAGGTGTAGTGTAATAACAAAGTGTTTTTGTACATATAAAGGTGATTTAAATTTGTGTATGGCTATGGCTTCCGCAAATCTCAGGATACGTCCCTGACTGTTTCTATATGAAACTTTGAAATCTGTTTGAACATTAACTTTGTGACCTGTTTCTATGACATGTTTAGCTATAGATGAAGAGGGTGGTCTCCACCAGCGTTTATCACTGTTTCACACTCCATTTGTTTTTGAAGCCATTTAGGTACATGTTCTCCACCCTCAACTGCATGACTCCATTACTCTTCCCTTTGTATATGTGACCACACACACATGTAAATTGGTAAACACAATGGGATGTGACTTAATCTTTGTTTATCGAGTCAACACCTAACACATGCAACAGGAATGACTCAGCATCTGTTCCAGACATATGGGAAATCTTACTACCCACCTCACAAAGAGGCGAGGAAAATTAGGACTATATAAAGGATATCTCAAAGTTGTGTAGTTATCTTGATATGACTATGGACAATAAATTATGTCCGAAACGTAATTTAGTGAACAATACTGTTACACTGTGTGATAAATCTAATAAATCAATAAAAATAGAATCCCTATGTTCCATTAGGAACCCAAAGTACAAATAAATATAATAATCATAATAGAAGAATTGTCGGGGAGGACTCAGCTAATCAGAAGCTTGTAATTTGAAACTAGGTATAAAATTTGTAGTTTGCAATGATGCTGACGGTATTCCATGAGTAAAATGACTTGGTGGTGTAGATTCACTTCCAAACAATAAGGTACTTTCGCTGCATGTCTGAAGTGCATATAAAGCTGGTACATTTCTTACAAATTATCCACATTCTTAGCTCAACAAATCGATTATTGACTGGCTGCTATCCATATTCACTTGATTGGCTAATGGAAACATTTTTCTGATCGATACGTAAAGTAGATCGATCTCAACATGTCCATCCACCATCTTTTGTCGGCTATATTATAAAAATCTTCAGAAAGGTTTGCATGTTTCCTCTGTTTTGTATTTCTTTACTACCCCTTCGAAAATATGTTCACAACATATACACTATAAACTTAAGTTTAAAAGTTGTGGATTAGCCTAGATGTGACTTGCGGCTCATTGGTCTAGGCAACTGACCTACAACTAATTAGCCAATGGTTCGAATCGTGCTTCATCTATCGGAGTTTGGACAGCCAAGTCTTATCTTTGACCTCTATATAATAGGCGTGTCTCCTTACCAAATGAATACGCACGTGTTATGAGAAAAGTTGTGATTTCGTTTTTGATGTCTGTATGTGACTGTGGGCAGTGTATCGTATGGACAAAGAAGACTATATCAAGAAGGCAGAGGAATTACTCAAAGACAAAAATGTGTGTCAACCACTTGAAACTAACCCTATCCAAAAGTTCTACAATCAAATCAATAAAGCCTTGAACAAACTCTTCAAAGCAGAAGAAATAACAAAGCAAGACAAATGGCGTATGAAATCGAATGGACCTATCCTTCCTCGATTCGAAGACAGACCAAAACTACACACACCAGACATCCTTCTACGACCAATAGCCTCGCTTCCGGGAACTCCAACATATAACATATCAAGAGAACTTTCGAGAAAACTGAAACACCTCGTCCAATCATGCGGATATTCCATCAAACCAGCAACGGAATTCTTAGAAAAGATCAAAAACATTAACATAGAAAACGATGAATTAATGATATCCTTCGATGTTACAGAACTATACACATCCATCAAACCTCAATTGGCCAAGGAAACGATATTCCTTCTGATCAATGAAGACAACAACCTTTCAGAACGCACTAAACTCAAATGTTCAAGTCCGATGGAACTCATCGATCTTTGTATGGCAACATACTTCCAATTCAAAGACAAGATATACAAACAGAAGAAAGGAACTCCAATGGGATCACCGAAATCCGGATTAATAGCAGAAGCAGTGATGCAGAGACTGGAAGCCATCATCCTACCTGTGATCAAACCAAAAATTTGGATCCGTTGTGTAGACGACACTTTTGTCATCATTAAAAAGGGTGATATAGAAAACACCGACAGTTTGATCAACAACGTTTTCAATGACATCAAATTCATAATGGAGAAAGAGTCAAACAACCAACTATCATTCCTGGATGTCTTAGTCAGTAGGACAAATGTCGGAAAGCTGGAAACCCAAGTGTACAGGAAGCCAACACACACTGACCAAATCCTCAACTACAATAGCAACAACCCAACAACACACAAAATCAGTTGCATGCAGACTCTATTCAAAAGAGCGAGAACACACTACAGCACAACAACTTCACGGAGAAACGAAGAAAATTACTCGATGTCCACCCTAAAGAAGAACAGCTACCCACGAAACTTCATCAGAAGATGCCTATCCCGTACATCATCAACTACAAAGTCATCGACAGAAATCAACAAACGCATCGTCCTACCATACATAAAGAATGTATCAGAAATCACGACAAGATTCCAGAGACCACTTGGAATCGCTATAGGTCATAAACCAACAAATTCCCTCCTAACACTATTATGCAGACCAAAGGATACAACAAGCAATGAAGACAAACCCAATATCATTTACAAAATCAACTGCAATAACTGTAGTCAGCACTACAGTGGACAAAGCAGCCGCCCTCTTTGCCTTCCTCTACATGAGCACCAATTGGCTATTAAACGTCACACGACATTTCGTCACTCATTCCAATGCACGTGGATAATTATGGACACGAATTGAATTTCGACAATGTAGAAATTTTGGACAGAGGAAACACAAAGAATGTCAGAGAATTCCTAGAAGCTTGGCATCCAGGTCAGTCAGCAATCAATAGATGTATAGACATAGACCCAATCTATCACCTAATGAGATAAACGACAGAAAGGTGAGAGGTGAAGCAGAGGAACAGCCAACAGGAATGTCTATACAATCAATGACGCAACAATCGAAGGAAACAACCAATCACAGACCACATCGTCAGAGCAAGCTACTAAATCACTCACGGAAAGATATTGACAGCTAACTTCATACTGAAGTTAGTGCTGATGTTGTCATGTAGCAAGGCGATGAAAGCTTCACGATTAAACAGCCCAGCTCAGAGAACACAATACAACCAAGAGTATTGTATGTGAGGTGTTATCCAGTACACAATATGATTTCACTGAGCAAGCAAATATCTAATTATATGCTATCAAAAAGGCGGATTATTACCCTTACACTGAGTTGAATGTGGTCCTCACAAAAATTTGTAGGTCAATAAAGACACGAAAAATATTCCGATATTATTAAAGGCTTACTTAACAATTCTAATTACCACAGAATAAAAAAATATCTTTTCAGAAAATGAGCTAAAGTTTAAGAAAGAAAGGCATCACTACTTGCTTTCAAAAAGTAACTATATTTTGTACAAAAAATGATGTTTCTTTTGAAATGTAAATCACTGTTCATAATCTCCAGCTCATCACAGGATTTGAAGTATATTGCAAACAATAGAGATATTAGGTGATTACTAAAAAAAGTATAAGAATTTCTTTTCGGTGGTGCTTACTATCACTTTAAGTTAAAATAATATTCCACATGAGCAACAGAAACTGAAAGAAACAAGCCTGTTAGCATAATCATCATAGAAATTATGAAGATAAAAAGAAAGATAGAGACAATCCTAATCAGAATGAAAAGTAGATGGATCCCAGCGAAGACGTCGATCTTTACATGCATCATTCCACCAACTAGATACATCTGAAACCCAAGATGGATGGAGGTATTGAACTGTATGAGCCAATAAACATATTTCACAGTGAGGATCACCATGCCAGTTTTTCACTTCTCCATGTTCACGCCAAGCAAAGTATTCGTTATATGCTGTATCGTTTCCATCTAGGTACTTTAGGTATTCGGCAAGTTTAAAAGGTGATTCGAATTGATCGACATGGATAAAGGAGTATGGCGGTGCTAGCGATTGATATTCTTCAATTGATGCTCCCATCACAATAGGAATAACATCATTCCTGTTGAAAATCAAATTTTAAAACAGCGTTAATAATTACTAGGTTATTTAGAGAGGAAGGGAATGAACACTAGTTGAGACATAAGCATTCTCATATTTCTGTAGCTCAGTATTATGTTCAAATTAAACATTGAATAGTAATAAAGGTAAACAGAGGCTTAAAATAAGAAAATAATGGATTTCTAAGACTTCATTATCAATAACTGTTATCATTTGACTATTGTTCAATGAATATAATTAAGATGATAGGTGAAAACAGCTGAGATATGAATTGATGAAACCAATATGAGTACTCTAAATAGTGAGAAAAGTAGTGATATTAGGAAACGTTTGACAGGTAATTAACAACAATTATAATCATAATATTTTATTCCTCGATTAATTTGAGCATACCATTTTTACAGATATGGTTATTAGGAATTATTTATAAGCTCTTGCACAAGTATCAATGTCGTTTTATTTGTTTCTTAGGTAGTAACGATTCCCAGGTGCAATAAAGTACGACAATATATAATAAACAGCTGATGAGTGCAAAGATGAAGGTTACTTTTGTAGTTTATAAAGAAGTAGACTTTTTTAATTCATACCGAAAGAAAGTGTTATTATAAGCTGATGAAAGAGTTGAATCATTAAACAACAAAGGGATAATAGAGAATGAAATAAAGTAATTCGTGCCAGTAAGAAACAAATCATGCTTATTTCAGTTATGGCACCAATTATTTTCATAGTAAGACGATAAATACTGGTGATAGTACGGTATAGGGATCTGAGTAACATAAAAGTTATTCTTGTAAAATGAGCATATAAATGAGGAACATACCAAAAAAAATCAATGTGTGCGAAGAATGTTGCAGAAATGAGCAACACTTCTTCAGTTTCAAAATGTTTTTAGTTTGTTTACCTATATCAAAACCGCTCATTAGACAAGCTAGAATCAAAAAGACGATGGTAAATGAATTTAGCAATGAGAAAGTATACGGCTACAGGCTTTGGTAGAACACTTCAACGTTCAGTTTAGTTGATGTACAATACGCATCAATCAACTTAGGTGGTTTACGGATATCTGTAATCCAATTGATACAGAAGTTAAGAAATTTATTTTAAAATCTAAAAGAGAGAAAAGCAAAACACTAGATGACTTCGAGATTGTAGTTAGCAATCACCAGTTAGACTTCTGTCCCAGAAGTATTCCGCAATGTTTCATGAAGGTTTCAAAAGACACAACCTTACATTCATTTGTAAGAAACTATTAGTTTTTGTGTAGTCTTTGTTTCCATTGTGATTCCAAGTACATTACTAGTGAAATGATATCTGTTCACCTTATTTCGAGTTTAACTTGTACATAGGATACAATTAATAGTTTTATTCAATTAAATGACATTACATCGAAAGCCAGTTGAGATGCGTTAATTATTTAGTTAGTTTTAGTTGTTTAAAGTCAAAACCCCCAGTGAAGTCAGTCAACAGTTTTCCTTTTAGAAACAGCGGAGAATATTTGTAGCTCAGGTGGATGGTCTTGATTGCATTATGTTCTCTCAGCTGGGTTGCTTAACCGTAAAGCTTTCATCGTCCTTCTAGACGACATCATCAGCACTAACTTCAATAGGAAGTGAGCTGTCAATATCTCTCCGTGATGACGTCGTCTAGAAGAACGATGAAAGCTTCACGATTAAACAACCCAGCTTAGAGAACACAATATAACCAATTTTCCTTTTATTTACTATCCAGTCAAATTTCATCATTTTTTCTCTTACCAGAAGATCAGCATACAATCAAATAATGGTTTCAAAAGAAAAATTAAAGGAAGTGTACTTGATCGATTCCAACTATTCAACTGATTAAAACAATGATTTTATGGTTGTGTATCCAATTCGTTTAAATATCTCTTGTTTCATTCTTTTTCCACTTCAAAAAACAGTAGAATGCTCGGCTATTCATGAACTGAAGGCTGATCTTCTTGGGCAAAAGAAGTAGGTACAGTCTTTGTCTTTAACTCGGCGTTTTGTATTGGTTTGCTTCCTTTTTTCAACTCTCTCTATAAATTATTAGATTAATTTTGACACTGTTTATCATCATCATCAGTATTGCTTTTACACTTAACAGTTTCCGGTGTTACTTCATTTAATCTTTCCAACGATTGAAATTTTACCTCAATGTAAGATAGCTTGAAATTATTTACAAAAACGTATATTTATGTACTCTTTGTCTTTCTTTGAAAATTAGAATATCTTATTAACTGTTATCTCTGTTTTTTCTCTCCCACAAGTTCGAGCTAACAGTTCTAATTCTTTTGACAACTGTGGCGATCTGAACAAGGGCAAGCTTCGACAGTATGTTATGGTTTAGTCGATGATTGTTCAGACTGTTTTTCACTTATAATACTTTCTAGTCTATTTACAGTTATCATAATCAACATGCAATATAATAAAGACAGTTATATTGACTAGTGAATTTGTTGTATGTGGAATGTCTAAATTCGGTTAAGTGGTCAGACTTTAGAGTTCATTTCTAAAAGTGTATTATAATTGAAGAAAATTATTACAGAAATACCTGTAAATATAAGAACAGATGCTACAAACAAAACGAATGAAACTTATAAATGAAGAGTGACATTGCGTTCTCTAGCTAATATAAACAAAGTAAAAAAAAGGGTTACAATTAAACAAGAATGTTTATCAGATTTATTATTATATTATATATTATTCTTTATCCCTTGGGTTCCTAGTGGAACATAGGGCTTCAGTAGCATGTCTCCATTCCACTCTCTTTGCTGCAGTCTTTCCAACCTGGCTCCACGACAGCCCACAAGCTCTCATTTCTTCCTCATATGATCTCCCTATCACGCTTAGACGCCCAACTCGTTTCCCATTGGCAGTCCACTCGAGTGCCTGTCCTGTGTTGTCCCCGAATGGTCTTCCCAGTGCATGGCCAATCCATCTCCACCTCCTTCTGCATATTTGTTGAGTGACAGCTTCTTGGTTGGCTCGTTGCCAGCCAGCCAATCAGACAGAGTTGCTTGCTGCTTATTCTTAGTATTCTGGCCATCTGAGCTTCAGTAACCAGCCAGAGTATGCAGTTGGTGATGAATGTCTGCAGTTTGTTGGAAATGCATTCAGTAAGGCGCCAAGTCTCTCAACCATCACATTGAAGCACTGATTTACTTGACTGAATTAGTGTTGAAAATCTGGATGTTGTTCACGCTTTATGCTGAGTGCAGAAGATCTCCCCACTGATTTCAGGCTAATGAACGCCTGTCTTGCTGTCTTACCGATCCTGGCTGGCTTTGAATTCCTCGTTTGTGCCTGTGCCGACTGTAGTTGAAACGATGCTGCCCTGCCCAGGTAGGTGAAAGAGGCTACTTCCTTTGAGTATCTCCGGTTGTTGGTGATTGGAGCATCTTGGTTGTATTGTGTTCTCTGAGCTGGGTTATTTAGTCGATTAAACAACCCAGCTCAGAGAACACAATACAACCAAGACCATCCACCCGAGCTACAAATTTTCTCCATTATTTCAAAATCACACTAGCGTGATTGGAGCATGTTGTTGCTGTTGTCGTTGTTGTTCGTTGGGTATCATCATCACCTCTGTCTTCTCTACATTCACTTGAAGTCCCGTCTTCACTGCCTGGCCTCTTCTGTCAACTTGTTAGTTTTCGCCTGTAGATATTCGTGTTTGTGTGACATCAGACACAGGTCATCGTTGGCGAAATCCAAATCTTCTAGGGTCTTTTCATCGGCCCATCCAGCATATGCTCCTCTTCTCGCTCCTCACGGTTTGCTGCATGATCCAGTCCAGTCCAGTCCAGTCCAGTCCAGTCCAGTCGACCACAATCAGCAAGATGATGGGTCATGGTAGACAGCCTTGTCTTACCCCTGTCTTCACTTCAAAAGCATCACTGAGCTTCCCATTGTGAATTACTTGACATGTGGCGTCTTCATATAGTTGTAGGATGAGGTTGATAAAGGTTTGTGGTATTCCGTAGTGTTGGAGCAGCAGCTGCCTGTCAAATTACTTGTCGGTCGACTCTGTCGAAGGCCTTTTCAAAGTCGATGAAGTTGAGGTAGAGTTGAGTTGACTGCTATTGTACACTCTGTCCTGTGATGATGCGTAGTGTATCATTGCAATTCGGTCCGCACTTTATCAGATTAGGTATATCTTAAGTCAAATCAAAGTAGAATTAATCTCGTAAAGTCGAAGAGATGATTTGACAATGGTGAGTATTAGGTTAACATACTGTATCATTTTTTCAAGTAGAAATGTTATAGAAAGGCAAAAGTTATGTGCTTTTTCTAACATTATATCAACCCTTCCAATCTCACTGGTGAGTAGAGTGATTTTTCTCATTTTCATGCTGAATCTAACTGGTTAAGCATGCTTGATACAGCAAAAAGAAAACACCCTTTGTGATAAACCCTCGACCACTTTTGTTAAGTTCAAAGGAAGAAACTTTTTGGTGTCATTCTTCTTTTCGCATTATTCACAAGGGTAATTACAATACAATCTCTTGTGAATTTGATTCATCGAAGATTATTCAAGAGTAATTATTATAAGCATTATCTAAACAGCAAACATGTGATTGAAAATGTTGCTTACTGTAGTGCATTTAGGTAGAATTTTTCCGTCACATAATATTTGCATAGACTATTTTCAAAACTCAAGTAAAATTTGTATTCTTCACGAAGTAATTTAAAACATAATTTTTCTGATGATCTGGGACATAGTTTAGATCCGCATTTACCAAATATATCAACCTGTTTCAAAAAATAGTGAAAAATTATCAGAAATAACGCCAGTAACGAAAATATAATTACGTATTTATGCTAGCTGTCATACTTTACATCAGCACGTTGAAAGGGAAGTTAACAGTTGTGAGTTAACAGGAATGAATTACATCAGGAGTGATGATTGAAAAAGAAAGGATAATAAAGTGGGAAATAGCGGATGATGGAAGTCTCAAGACTTAGATTAAGGTGTTGCTACATTTTAGCCAGTGTGGTGGATTCGACTTTATACCTCTAGATTATTTGGTCATCAACTTCAAAAGTTGCAAAAACGCTAATTAGGAAGCTCGTGATTCCATAAATAGAAGTGAAATCTGCGATTCATGCCCTCCTTGAGGTGAGTTATTTAGTACCACTACATTACGTCGCATTAAATTTTATATTTTTAGCTACAATAAAGGTTATAGTATAGTATTTGAGAACATATTCTGATATTTAATGACAACCTGGCATAAGTTCCCCATTCTTGATTTCCTTGACTTTAGCAAATACGAATAAATAGAAGACCTTGTAGACTTAGCGAATGGTGTGAATTATGTCCAAGTTTATTGCTCACAAATAACCCAAGTATATCCTTAGGTGATACAATCGGAGCCCTCGTTGACTTCACAGTATGATACGATTATTTAATTTCACCTACAAGGTTCATACTTACAGTCAGAAACTTCAGAGATTATTAGCGTCTTAGTACAGTAATTCTTAACCTCCTTAAAACAATCTGAATATGACTAGCGTGGCAATTTGAAACAGATGGTGACTCATCAAGAGTAACTAGTTTCCCAAACACATTTAATTTAATATCTAAATATTCTATCTATTACTCTACTTCTAATTATTGCACTACTCATAAATTTATTGTAACAAATGACAGTAATGCTGCAAAACCAGTGAACCACCTTTATCCCTTAAAATATATCTGGATATCACATTACACTACAAGTGGATTGTGCCTATGAACCCAAACTGAATTTTTTAAATATGAGACAAGGTTTTATTAACTACTAACCCAATAAGATCGACGCGAATTCACAGATAAGCATTGTGGTAAGTGCACCCAACCGCTTCTACTTCTGTCGCTACACGTGACATATAGGCAGAGCAGGCCTAGAACGACAATATATATATATATATATTGATGGTGAAGAACAGACTCAAAATATTTTTACAAACACCTCATTAAACCTTTTGAATAACCAAGAAAATATTGTCTGAAAGACAAAAATCATTGATTGTACCAAACACTATCTTAACACGGACTTGGTCGAAAAACAAGATTAAGTATAATACCTACCTAATCCTCCCATTTTTGTTGTTTCTTATCAATGATATCCAATGTTTACGGATGCTATTATCTTAGATGGCATTTAAGTTGATTTCTCTGCTGATGTTACGAAATGAGACGAGATGTAGAACCTAGCACCAAACAAACTGAAATTTCAAGCTTCCAAATGGGTTGTGTTTGACAGAGGTCAGACGAACAGCAGTTACTATTGTAGTGGAAATCGCTGCACTATAAAAGGGGTCTAAGCGTGAATTCGTACTGCTGGCTGGATAGGGTGTAAGAGAAGTAGAGTGTTTCCCTAGCAGTGTCCTGATGATGCTACTATACCTATGGGAGGGACGATCAGAAAAGTTTCGCTCCACAAGTAACACACTTCACTTGCCATACGGTTTTCTAGTGGGTTTTCTCTGTCCGCCACTAGAACAATCACATCTCATACCAACAATCCTAAAAGGGTTGTATGTAACATGCCTTATGGGTTCTGGGACCACAAAAATATCTTCCCCATTCAGTTACGTTCAGAAGAAATAGCCAGCCACAGTGTGGGCAGCTGGGAAGTGTCAACCACTCAGTAGTATTCAAGACCCAATCAAATGTAACCCATCCTCCTCAACTGTCTCTCCTCCCTTGCCTCATGATAATATGAGACCACTTACACCTTACTCAACCCCTCACTATGCAACAACTGTCAACGATCAAAGACGTGTAAACCCCATTCCTAGTCCTCAAAGACCCCACACACCATAGATTTCATGTAGGAGATCTCAGCATCTAAACTCTATGCCAAATTGGACAGCAGGCATCGCTCGCCAAAACTCTGAAATCTTTAGCTGTGGATGTATGCTGTGTCTCTGAGACACGTATGCAGGACCCAAGTATGCTTATTACATTAACCTCATCTGACTAATGTGAAAGGATTTGTACTGGTATCCGGAGACCCAGTGGCTAGATCCCGTGGACTTCGTTGTGTAGGCATAGCACTGAGCTGCAGAGCAGAAAGTGGGCTCTCGACTGGTTTCTAGTAAACACCCGTCTGTGCTATTCGACTGAATGGATCTATAACCACTAGGAAGGATCGTGAGACTAGGCGATGCCTATTCATAATCTCCGCTTGCGCACCCGTTGACTACAGTTTGGATGATACAAAGGACGAGACCCATGAAAAGATATCAACTTTGCTTCAGAAGGTAAAACTTTGAGATGTAAACGTAATGCCAGGCAACTTTAATGGTCAAGTGGGGGAGCTAAGCCAGTCAGAAAGGCATCTTGGAGGTATTTATGGAATCCCATGCCAAAAAACCGACAACGGTGGTCATGTTGCAATTTCGCTCCGACAATCGCCTGTTTCTGATTGTCACTAAATTCAACCATAAGGAGAGACACTGTCTCACATAGCACCCATCGACATAAGAATTTATCTTAACAGTATAAAAATAGTCATCCTGAGGAAATCTGGCGTGACACGGTATTAAGCCAGCTGCAGAAACAGCGATAAAGACAGGTGGTAACCTACAATCGCATGTTAACAAGCGTCATTGGATTTCTGCGACATCATCTGAATTGACTGAAAAGACAATACTTATTCCAGTTGTCTCTGACCTCGATGAGGAGCGAAAGCAACGTAAATTTACCAAGTCTTGACATCGATCACGAGCAACAACGGGTGATGAAAGCGAGAGAGCTGGAGAAGGAATCAGCGTTGAGTTACACCCGGTAACATTTTAGGCTTATTAGGATACCGGCAAGAAGAAGATGGTAGTTAATGAAACCATGACCTAATAGGGATGGGATGCTGACTATCTCCCAGGACAGATGGCCACAACGTTGGTCAGAACACCTTGCACTACAGTTCAAGTGGCACTCAGTAACGCTTCAGTTGCCCAACATACAGCCTGAACCTGAATGGTACTTAGATTTCGGTTATCCAACACCCCTTGAAGTTGAGAAGGCTGTATCGAACGTGAAATGATACGAATCAGTAGGATCTGACAGTTCAGCACTCGGTTTTAAAGATGGAGGTATGAAATTGCTAATTAAAATGTCGGAAGTACTAGGTAGTGTATGTGAATCAGAGGAAGTGCAGTCAGACTTGTGTACTTCACTGATCATCCCAGTCTATAGGAAGGGAAAGAAATCTTCCTGTGACAACCATAGTGGAACCGTTTTTATCAATATTGTGTTCAATTTCTTAGGGTCCACAGTTATCCAGTGCCTAATTGGAACTAGAGTAGACCAGACTCTGGAAAAACAGACAGATTTCAAACCTGAACGAGGGTGTATCGATCATATTTTCACCCTCTAACAGGTGCTGGAATACATATTTATGCTTACTTGCCCGTGGCCGACACTTGTCATATTTGTTGAGGTGAAGGTGGCATTCGACCGTGAGGTGTTGTGACAGTGTCTGACTGTGAAGGGAGTAGTGGGCAAGTATATAACACCAATCAAAGCTCTCTACTCAAACCTAGACAGCCGTATCAGGGCTTATGAGTAGTTGTCAGGTGAAATGATGGCAACGAGTGGTGTCCTCCAGGGATGCCACCGTCACCCTCCCTATTTAACTTCGTGATAGATGTAATAATGGATATAAGTTTAGATACGTCTCACTTCACAGGAATTGATCTATTTCCTGGAGGTCATTTGTATTAGCATCAAAAAAAGGATACACAACGAAACTTGAAAATTCAGCTCTGAATAATCTTGAAAATGACCATAACATATCGACTGCTAAATCTGATACAGGTAGTTCAACAGTAGTTATAGAAAAATTGGATTATTTCAACAAAATTGATGAGCAGTGCCATATGAAGAGACTAAGAAACTTTTAGACACTGATATGCACCAAACTAAGAAATCTGCAGCCAACCTGATACGCCAACTAAAGCCAGCTCTTGGTGAGCCTAAATGGTTTAATTTCATGCCTAAGACCAATAATCCTAGCAGAATTTAGGGGATTATTAAGGTTCATAAATCAGGTTATCCTATTGGACCCATAGTTGACTTCAGAAATACCCCAACATATGAACGATCAAAGTACTCAGCATCGATATTATATCCTATTAGAAACCGTTCAAATCCCAGACTACTCAGTTCTCACGAGTTAAAACTGAGACAATAAGCTATACATAAAATAAAATGAAAAAAATGGTTAGTTTTGATGTAGAACGTTTTTATACTTAAGTACTAATCAATATGGCGCTGGAGGCAGTCAGAAATCGACTAAATATTGACTCAGAACGTACTCGAAGAACTAAAATTTCGGTTGGTGAAATAATGTTGGTCGTACAGTTTTGCCTGACCTCCACAGGTCAAAAAACATCAAAAACAGGAGTAGGATTGGGATTATTAATATACCAGATCGTATCAGATCGATTTATTGAAAGCTGGGAAAACATGACTTTACAAACGTTAAGCCCTGTACTTAAGATATGGTGGCGGTATGTGGATAACACATTTACTGTTTTGAAATCATAACATATCGACAATTTCCCCACACACATAAACTCAGTAGTAGGCGCAATCCAGTTCACTAACGAGGTAGGAGATGAATAAGGAAAATTAGCTATGTTGAACTGCAGAGTAAAATGAAGAACAGCGGTCTTTTGGGTACTACCTTCTACAGGAAACAAACACATCCTAACAGGTATCTAGACTTTAGGTCATATCATCCAATGTCAGTTAAGGTGGG